CAGAAGTAATCAGAATAAAAAAAATAATAAGAAAAATTTGTTGCCGAAAACATTTTTATCCCTCATAGAAGAACTAAATTTAGTAGATGTTTGGAGATTATATAACCCCAAAGAAGAAAAATATACATACTATTCCAAACCTCACAAATCTTGATCGAGGATAGACATGGTATGGGCTACGAAGACCTTAATTTATTTATTTTATTTATTTGTTTCCATTTCTATACCGCCCTTCTCCAATAGGACTCAGAGCGGTGAACAGCCAGAGTAAAAAACAGAATATACAAAATTTAAAAGCAGTTTAAAATGATTAAATGGTTTTGGCCGTAATTTAAAAACAACCCAATTTAAAATCAGTTTAAAATTTAACTCAAGCCAGCCCAGCTAGTTGAAATAAATAAGTTTCAGGGCCCGACGAAAAATCCAGAGGTCTGTTATTGTACGTATCTCTGGAGGGAGGTTGTTCCAGAGGGTGGGCACCGCCACAGAGAAGGTTCTCCCCCTGGGGATCGCCAGCCGACATTGTCTGGCGGACGGCACCCTGAGGAGGCCCACTCTGTGAGAGCGTACTGGCCGGTGGGAGGCTATTGGTGGCAGAAGGCGGTCTCGTAAATACAGGAGATTCAATCAGTAGAAATAGGGACAAATGACTGGGCCGACCATAACCCATTAATAATAGAGTGGAGAGGATGGAGAAAGGGGAAAAGCAGATGGATGATGAATACACAAGTAATGAAAGAAAAAGAATATATTGGAAGAATAGAAGAAGAACTTAAATGGTTCTTCAAAGATAATAATAAAAGCCAGACATCTTTACAAAATTTGTGGGACACAACAAAAGCCTACCTCAGAGGAATAACATTAGCATATAATAGCAAAAGAAAAAAGGAGAGGGAAAAGGAATATAACAAAATTTATAGTGAGATTAAAAATTGTGAAGAGAAATTACAGGAAAGACTGGTGGATGAACAGATAAGAGTTAATTGGATAGCTGCTAAATACAAACTGAACATACTTGAACAAGAAAAATATGTCAATGCATTAAAATCTATAAGACAAAATCAATTTGAACAGGCAAATAAACCGGGGAGGTGGATGGCTTATAAATTAAGAAAAGAAAGGGAAAAATGAATAATTCATCAACTACAGGACAATGAAGGTAAGCTGCATCAGAGCCCAGAAAAAAAAAATAGCAATTCAATTCTTTCAAAACCTATATAAGCAAGAAAAGGTGAAAGTAGAAGAAATAGATCAATATTTAAAAAAGGAGGAAATGCCCGTGATAACGGAAGAGGAAAAAAATATGTTAAACAGGGAGATTATGATGGAAGAACTACAGGAAACTATTAGGAAACAAAAAAATAATAAAACCCCGGGAACAGATGGGCTACCAATAGAACTATACAAAGGATTAGGAACATCATTAAATGGAATATTATTAGAGGTTTACAATGAGGCATTAAAAGAAGCAAAAATACCAGAATCTTGGAAAGAAGCATATATTTCATTAATCTACAAAGAAGGGACAGATACAACACAAATTAGTAATTATAGGCCAATTTCCCTATTAAACACCGACTATAAAATTTTTATGAATTTGATGGCGAATAGATTAAAAATAATATTAAATAATAGAATACATCCAGATCAAAATGGATTCTTGCCGACAAGACAAATTAAAAATAATTTAAGAATGGTGATTAACATAATAGAATACTATGAGGTGCATCCAGAGAAGCAAGGAGCGCTTGTTTTTCTGGATGCACAAAAAGCATTCGATCGGGTCAATTGGAAATTCATGATACAACAAATAAAAAATATGAAATTCGGAGAGAAATTTGAAAAGATCATATCTACAATATACACAATCAGAAGGCAAGATTATTAGTTAATGGGGAATTAACAGACAGTAGAGGAATAAGACAAGGGTGCCCACTCTCACCCCTGCCTTTTATTTTAACCCTGGAGAATTTGCTTAGGAGAATTAGACTAAATAAAAATATAAAAGGACTTAAAGTAAAAGGAGAAGAATACAAGGTCCAAGCCTTTGCTGATGACCTTGTATTCTTCACAGAAGACCCATTAGAAACACAATTAAAATTGATGGAGGAAATAAGAGGAATTCGGCAGGGTGGCAGGGTTAAAAATTAATAAAAACAAGACTAAAATACTAACCAAAAATCTAACAATAAAACAAATACAAGAACTGGAACAACAATCGGGATTGCAAGTAGTTAAAAAGATAAAATATTTAGGTATAAATTTGACGACTAGAAATATAGCAATTAAGGATAACAATTATGGAGAACTAATACAACAAATTAAAAAAGATCTAGAGAGATGGGGGAAATTTAAATTATCGCTGCTAGGAAGAATCGCGGCAATAAAGATGAATATACTCCAAAGGCTCCTCTACTTATTTCAAACTATTCCTGTTAAATTAGAATTTTTTTTTTTTACAAATTTGAATAAATTAATCGCAAAATTTATATGGGAGGAGAAAAAATAGAGGATAAATTTAAAAATACTACAAGACGATAAGACCAGAGGAGGCTTTGGCCTGCCAGCCTGGGAAAAATATTATAGAGCGGCAAGTCTAATATGGATTAAAGATTGGGTTAATTTGGACAACCAGAGTATTGAAATTGGAAGGCCACGATTTATTAAAAGGCTGGCATGCTTACTTGTGGAACATCGGAAACAAAACATACAAACATTTTAAAAACCATATAATAAGAAATTCACTAATTGACACCTGGTTGGAAATTAAATGTAAGCACTATATGAAAGTCCCAGGCTGGATATCTACATTAGAGGCAACAATGCACCCCAATACAATGCACCCCAACACACCAGCTACTCAAAAAATAATAAGATACAAAGAAATTCTGGATATTAATGGGAAATTCAAACCTCACCAAGAGCTCAGGGACCAGGGTATAGAAATAGACTGGTGGCCGTATTTACTAATACAAACTAGTTATAAAAAAGTCAGTTAAGAAGGAGGAGTTGAGATAAAATCCCACCAATTAGCTAAATTATTAGAAACTAAAGAGGGAAAATTAATTTCGAAGATTTATAAATAACTACTAGAGTTCGACCTGGCAGAAAACATAGTCAAAGGCCAAATGATAGCTTGGGCTAGGAACATTGGAAGAAGTATACAATTAGAAGAGTGGGAAATGATATGGGAAAATAATTGTAGAATAACAAAGGCAACAACGTACAAAGAGAACCACTATAAGATGTGGTATAGGTGGTACCTAGCCCCTGCTAGATTGGTAAAAATGTACCCGATATGTTGGAAATGCAGAAAATCACTGGGGACTTTTTATCATCTTTGGTGGCTTTGCCCAAAAATTAAAAAAATTTGGATGAAAATTAGAATATAGATAACAGAAATAACCGAAGAAGAGATCGACCTAAAACCTGACATTTTTTTATTAGGCATACTCAAAAAAAGTAGTAGAAAAGAAATAAAATATATCACATTACATATAATTATGTCAGCTAGATTAACTCTAGCCCAATCTTGGAAATTAGAACAGTTGCCAACAGAACAACAAATAATCCAAAAAATATTCATATGTGCAGAAATGGATAGATTAACTTTAAAATTAAACAACAAGGAAGATTCACAGTACTATAAAATATGGGACAGATGGTATGAATGGATCAATCAATGGAAAAAAACTAAAGTCAAATACAGTAAGAAATAAAGGGTAACAAATTTACACTGTCATAAAGAAATCAAGGTAAATGTATATACATATATGTATTTACATGTTCAAATATAGATAGATAATTCTGTCTGTTAGTTTTAGTATATATGTAATTTAGAATTGTACCTTCTTTTTTAGAGTTAAGAATGTTTTGTACAATCTTTTATCTTTTTATATTGAATAAAGTTTGTTTTTAAAATTAAAAAAAAAAGAAAAGATTACAGAGAAGCAATTTCCCACAATTTATAACTTTATTTTGAATTTGCATTGTATTCAACGAGAAAGAAAGAAAAAAAGAGGGAAAGGGAAGGAAGGGAAAGGGAGAAAGAAAGAAAGAAGAGAGAGGGAGAGGAAAAAGAGAAAAACAGAAATGAGAGGGAGGGAGGGAGGGAGCGGGAGAGGGAGAGAGAGAGAGAGAGAGAGACAGAGACAGAGACAGAGACAGAGACAGAGACAGAGACAGAGAGAGACCCATTTCCCACAGAAAACAGAGCCATGAAACCTCGGTAGGCATGGCTGGGGCGGTCATGTGACTGGATGGGAGTGACATTGAGTTGGTCATGCCCACACAGCTTTTGTGGCTCCCAGTGTTTTCTTTTCTGTGGGAAACGGGTCCATACAGGTTGGCATTCATGAGGGAACCATGAATGCCAACCTGTATTGTGACATACTGAAGCAGATCATGATCTCTTTCCTTCGGAGACTGGGCCGCAGGGCAGTATTCCAACATGATAATGACCCCAAACACACCTCCAAAATGACCACTGCCTTGCTAAAGAAGCTGAGGGTAAATATGATGGACTGGTCAAGCAGACCTAAACCCTATTGAGCACCTGTGGGGCATCCTGAAGCGGATGGTGGAGAGGCACAAGGTCTCTAACATCCACCAGCTCCGTGATATCTTCATGGAGGAGTAGAAGAAGACTCCAGTGGCAATCTGTGAAGCTTTGGTGAACTCTATGCCCATGAGGGTTAAGGCAGTGCTGAAAAATAATGGTGACAAAATATTGACACTTTGGGCCCCATTTGGATATTATCACTTAGGAGTGTACTCACTTCGGTTGCCAGCAGTTTAGACATTAATGGCTGTGTGTTGTGTTATTTTGAAGGGACAGCACATTTACACTGTTATACAAGCTGTATACTCACTACTTTACATTGTATCCTAGTGCCATTTCTTCAGTGTTGTCACATGAAAAGATATACTTAAATATTTACAAAATGTGAGGGGGTGTACTCACTTCTGTAATATACTGTTAAATTGCAAAATTGGCTTACCTCAAAGTAGTCACTAATTTTATGTCCCCTGGGAATAATTTTGTCTGGAAAGAAAAACAAATAGCATAAATGATATTAAATTAAATAATTTGAAAATATGTTAATACTTTATTTTACTGCAAAAGCTGCTGAATATAACTTAAAGTTAAGAGCTTCTGGTTGCTCTTTATGAACGTATTATACCGGTAGCTATAGAAAAAATAAACAGCAGAAAAGACACATTTACTTAAGTATCAATTACAGTTTAAATTAACTTTCTTCAATATGCCATTTTCAATATAGCCCATTTTAATATAACTTTTCCAAAAAATGTTCCAAAACAAAACATAGCATATTATATTATGTCACTTTATTATCTAATACATAATTATTTCATGATATATTAGAAAATTATTGCATATGTTCTGTATATACTGCAGAAAGCTATCAATTTTTTAAAGATCCTAAATAGAAGCCTTACTTTGATTTGTTTCAAATGGTTCCCCTTTTCTCTTTCTGCTGCGCTGATCATTCTGTTTCTTTTCAGGAGTCTTAAAGGGATGAAAAAAATCCCAAATTAATTTCTACAAACATCCAAGGATTTAAGGTAACAACTTTTTAAAAGATGAAATATGGTTACCAGCAACTCTTCCACAGGTATTTTAACTTTCAAAACAGGTTATATTTCTCTTTTTGGTATTTTTAGATGTAATTATGGAACACCATACTGACTAAATAACCAATTACTAATTAGTGTAAATTAATTAGTTAAGTTGCTGTAATAATCCTGAGTTAAGCAAAATATTTTTTATTGTCAAAGATTACATTAAGACTTTTTGGTCAAAGTCAGCTGCAATATATGCAATCCTCCATTTACGATTGTTGTTTAAGATTATAACAGCCGTGGAAAAAAGTGAGTTACAACTGTCATGTTGCCTTGTGGTCATGTGATTGCAAATTAGGCACTTAGTAACTGGCTCATGTTTTCAACAGATACAGCATCTTGTGATCACATGATCAAATCTGCAACCTTCACAGCTGGCTTCTGACAAGCAAAGTCAATTGTGGAAGCCATATTCACTTAAAGACTGATTCACTTAATTATTCCAATAGTATACTTAATGTCTGCAGTGCTTTGTTCAATAACCACATAGTAGTCATAAAAATGAGTTTAGTCACCTGATGACTTGCTTAACAACCACATCATTTAATGCCTGAAATTCTGGGCTAAACTCCTCTATGAGAATTATTTGAAAAATATCACTTTTTAGTTACCTCCAGTTCCTTGTCACTCAGGGAACCCACACTGCACAAACTCTGATTGGAAGATTCATTGTTCAAGGGACCCTAGTGTAAAGGAAACAAAAGTGTGTTACCAACAGGAAATTTTGTCTTCTTTAAATGAAATGCAGATTTGTATTCATTTGATCATGAAAGTCACTGATAATTAAACTATAAATTATGACAATTCAGATTGTTATCTCTCTTTCAAGTATAAGAGACAAAGGCATTTCTTATGTACGTGCGGTGGGGGGGGGGCGCACCCAGCCAGCCTCATCACTTTGAAATTGTGTTTTCTCGAAAATAAGCCCTAGTGCTTATGTTGGAACCCAAAAAAATATAAGACCGTATCTTATTTTTGGGAAAACAGTGCAGATTAGGCAATGCTACAGGTAAGAGTACGATTTTATAAAATCAGCAAAGCATTCCACAATGTCTCACAATACTTTATTAATAAAATGGTAAAATATATGGTAGACTATAGCATAAGTGACAAATTGTTACCCTGTTTCCCCGAGAATAAGACATCCCCTGAAAATAAATCCAATAGGGCTTTTGAGCGCATATGCTAATGTAAGCCCTCCCCGAAAATAAACCCTCCTTGAAAATATTTAAACGCAAAGTTGGAAATTAGGCAAGAAGGCAAGAGGAGCCCCATCTTGCTCCACGTGTTCCAAAATAATAAGACCTCCCCGAAAATAAGGCCAAGCGCTTATTTCGGGGTTTAAAAAAATATAAGACAAGGTCTTATTTTCAGAGAAACACGGTAGATGAATTCCTAATCGGCTGAATGACTAAGAAGCAGAATACCACAGCACTGTTTTGTGTCATGTTATTCAATATTTTTTATTAATAACCTGGATGAAGAGGTTAAGAAAATGGGATTATCAAAGTTATTCACACAAAAAAGTGGCTAACACTTTAGAAGACTGAAAAAAATTAGAAACTTGAATAGTGGGCAACTTCGGAGAAAACAAATCAAATGGGAAACATACCTTGACAATGTAACTGTGAAAAGAGTATGAATCTTCTAGCAAAACACACATTGAGTATTAGCTAACACTGTGATAAAGTCACTAATAGTATCGAATTTAAACATTTTAATTTTATCATTTTATTCTGTCTCTATCAAGGCCTACTTGGAATATTGCTCTGGACACAGCAGTATAAAATGATAAAATGTGTGCCCAACGATCAGCTGGGTAGCGCAGATGTGCTCACCAGTTTTCGGCACTGCTGCGTGCATGAAGGGATCACACTCCACAAAAGCCAAACTTCTGGGTTCTAGCGCCCATGCGTGCCTGACAATCAGCTGGCCGGCATACATGTGCACACTGGTTTTCAGCACTGCTGCATGCACGAAGTACAGCTGATCGTCACATGCGCATGCACGCCAGAAACCTGGAAATCAAAGAGGCAAGACCGTGCATGCCGGGCGACATGGCTTCGTGTGCCACTTTGGGAACACATGCCATAGGTTCGCCATCATGGAAGTAGACTCATCTACTAGAGAGGGTAGATCTCCAACCAATAAGTTACAACTACAGAGAAAGAGACTTGGATTAGATATTAGGTTTTATTTTATGATAGCAAAACCTGTCAATTACTGGATATAAGCTGTCTATAAAGTGGTACCTCTACTGTATATGATAATTTATTCTGAAAATTTGGAGGATGCCTGTAAAAAAGAATTTTTGGAGGATGTGAAATACAGCTAATTATTTTAATTCTTTTGGCATTTGTAAGTTGAATTTTAGCTATATTTTTAATGTTTTATTTTATCAATGTGGCCCTTTCTCCTTTACTAATTGCATAAGTCTGCTTTAGAATATGATTTTAAAAGGCCAGTCATAATTATCTTGATTTTGAAGATGCAGCTCAGTAGACCATCAACTTATATGGCATGGGCAAGTTTCATTATCATATTATCACTGAAATCAACACGTTGATAATAGGACTTTGAATCAATTCCTTTGTATGAAATATGATTATGCAGATCTTGATTGTATCACTGCTATTTAACATATCCCTATTTCATAAAATGTTAGCAAAATATGCAGAGATATACATACAATTAGCCAATTGGTTGTGCACATAACTAACCTTAGCAACACCTGCTCCAGTAAACCTGGCCTCTAATAGTTCCTGTCGTCGTGGATCCAGGCTGTGCAATTCTTCCATCATATCTGCTGGTAAAGAAAATAGAATACTTTAAGAACAGTCAATGCTATCCAAATTAATAATTCATTAATATTCTTCTAATTACTGGATTAATATGAATTTATTTACACAACGGCCCTTTTCATGGTCCAAATATTAATTTGTAGTGATACCCCTCTTTGATAAAAGAGATATATTAAAGTAGTATTTGCATTTTTATAACATTAAATATTCATTTGTTCAGGTTTAGTTAGTGCATTAATTTATCATTTAGTTGTATTCTGTCTTTATTATTTTTATAAATAATACAACAACCAGTTGGCTAATTGTATGTATATCTCTGCATATCCAACATGCCTTCCTATTTTTCCCACAACAACCTTATGAGATGAATTGGGCTGAGAGAGAATGACTGGCCCAAAGACACCCAGCTGGCTTTCTTGGCTAAGCCATGGGTTGAAATCACAATCTCCTGCTTTCTAACCTGGTGCCTTAACCACTAGACCAAATTGACTCTTTACATTCATTTACACATATTATACAACTATAAGAATATTGTACTATTACTTTCTCCATTTAAATGAACATAATTGCAATGGATTTTTCAAATTTAGTCACTTATAACTTATTCAGTTCACTTACCTATTGCTTTACTAAATAAATAATTGGCTGGGTTCGCTCAACATGCTAAGCCATAAGCTATGTTTACAAACCACAACAACTAAGTTCACACAGCATATTTAAACAAACTACCGTAACTTAGTCTAAAATGGAGACCTTAAATCTCCATTCCTATAGCAAAAGATTACAGATCAGCATTTCTCCTCTAGAACTGTCAACTCTGTTGTCTACGAGATGCTTTTTAATATATAAACTGTGTTTCTTGGAATCCAGTATCAATAAAATCCTTTACATTATAATTATTCTAGAAGATAAACATCTCCTTACTTCACATTAGGAAATTAAGAATGGAGAGCTATTGACTCTCCATTTGTTTTTAACAGACTAATGCTGTTAACAGACTAATGCTGTTAAAAACAAATGGTATAGAAAAAGGTTTAATTACAATTCTACAGCATAACTGCAGAGGAATAGTAAATTGTATATGTACATAGAGTACCATAATGTGGTTTAAAATGACTGTACCTATCAGATATTCTCTTGCAATAAGGGAGTATAAAATTGCATCAAATATTGTAATTGCTCATCATTAACTATTGTTCACATCAAACCACAGAAAATATGACTTGCTTTTACTCTCCAAGATATTCAGAAATTGAACAGACAGCTCTCTTCTGAAGGAATCCTTTCTGATATATTCATTGTTCAGAATTAACTGGGAGGGACAAGTTCCAAAAACAAGCACATAAGCAACCTGATATATGAAACTGTGTAAGTAGAACTCCAAAGTGACCTTATATGCACAGTAGCAATTGCATGTTCCTAGAAACTCAATTCTTAATCACATTCCTCTTTAGACGTGGCATTATCTCTGGGAAATAAAATGTAGCAAGTATTCCTTTTTTAAAATATAAAATGCAAATATATCCATAAACAAAATAATTACCATATGTCCTCTATTGTATAATTATTAGTCAACCTCTAATTTTTTTTTACAGTGCAACAGTAAAGACCATGAATGGTTAATAAGAAGCGTTTACTTTTCATTTTCTACTAACTGATGAAATTCCAGTCAGCTCTACCAGGAACATATTGCTAGGGTATTAAACAATGATAGCACAAGGTTCTCAAACTGTGCATTGTGAATCTTTATGGGTTGCCAGTAATTTAGAAAGAAGCACACATTGTTTAAAGCTAGTAAGGCCTATGCAGGCAAAGCTGGAGCACTGTCAAAAGTCACTCCTGCTTTACTTGGACAAACCTCTAATGGGAGTCCTGGTGAAGCAGGCAGCAGACCCCGGAGTGAACTGTAATCCGTTTACACAGGCAAAGTCCAGAGGAAGTTTTGAGAAATAGTTGAATCTGTGGGTCTAGCCATTTGTCAGAACAATTCACCAATCATGAGGGTTGGGTTTTTTTTATTTTTGTTTTAAACCTTTTTAGTTTTATTCATGGGAATAATCCAAATTCATGCATTATTTTAGGAAACCGTACTATTGCAAAGCTTAGAGAACATCTTGTTATAGAACAAACGGACATGACAGCTAAATTTTGTTTGAACAGTTTCAATGAAATAAGAACTGATTATAAAATGGCATAATTGAGAGGTATCAGATTGACTGATTCATACATTTCCAAATACTTTATTCCCAGATTTGTTCTATTTTCATTTCCCCAACAAATGATAAGGCACTGAATCACTCAGCATCTAGCACATGCTTAGGAGGAATATTCCTGAAGGGCAGCAAATGCCCTTTTAGAGAGAGAGAGAAAATGCATACTGACATCACACCAATTATTCTCTTTGCTTTTTATTTTACCCCAACATCACTTCTCTGGAAGACTGCTGTAGAAGAAAACCATCTGTGGATATTGTTAAAGTTCAGTGGCTATTATAAAAACAGGGAGATATTTTTTATAATTTGACATGAAGTAGTACAACAGAATACCTAAAGGACTGTTTTCTCCCATATAAGGCTATATGTTTAGTTACATTTTATGGACAAGTTCACCTCTAAGATCTGCCAATATCAGAGCTAGGTTTAGTCTGGAGTATGGTGCAGTCTGTTTGGAATTCCCTACCAAATGGTAGGTTAAGATTCTCCTTCCCCATCAAGCATCGGTTATTGCCTGTAGCTTGTTAGGTCTTTCTATCTGAGATTTTACATTAATTTATTCACTTCAAATATTTTAATAGATGGATGCAAATAATTATGAGATGATCACAACAGCATACTATAGTAGAGGAATGTCCAATGAATTTATGAATCAAAGCCTTGCAGAGGTAGCTTCTAATTATGTAAATAAAATTCTGTAAATTATATAACTTCCTAAAAAGTTGAACAGAGAATATTTAAATAGATCTTTTCCTAAATTACAATAATGTAATATTTTAAGAAGACCTAATTATTTATACCTCTGCATGCCCATCAGAACCTTTGATGAAAGAAATTAAGAAATTTATGTTTGGAGGGGGTAAGCATCGTTTTAATGGAGAAGTATTCATTTTAGCTTTCTCCAATTTAGTGTAATTCCATATGTGCTGGGATTACAAACTGCAGATTTTCAAACAGCATACCATACTTTCTAGGAATTTGTAATACATCTGTAGGGTACCAAGCTGAAGAGTCAGTTCAAACATGGACATGAAAAAACAATTCCCTTTCAGTTATAAACCTATCAAGCCATCAAACTTTTTCTGCTCCTTTCATAAGTACATTTACTGTACTCTTCCATTCCATTTCCTGTGATATACAAGAAATATATTTCCAAAGATACATTGTTAACATTCATTTAACCTAGTTTCCTAATATATAACATTCATATGTGGCTTATCAATTTCTCATAGTTATTGGCCTAACCCTAACCCTACTGGTAACTTAATACAAAGTAGGTCCTGGAGGCCTAAATATCTGTGGGATATTACATTATAAACCATTTTCATTAAAAAGATGGAACACACACCCTCCCAAATGTTTTAACAGGGAGAGTTACCAAGTAGTAGCTTTGGGACTATCAGCTCCTAAAAGTAATTGCTCGTTGCAAATCCACTCATTGACCCAAACAGGAATTCATCCATCTAACTCAGATCTCTAGTTATAACCAGAGGAACAGCCCCGCCCCTCCTTTGAACCCCTTTTAATCGATTAACAACCGGCCCCAAACCTACCCAAACTTCCAGCTGAAGTTACTACTACTCTTCCTGGCCTTCCCTCCCCCGAGGATGTGGTCGCAGCCATCTCGCTACCTTACAGGATACACCCCAATAGCCCCACGGTTCTAGGCCAAGATTCAGTCCTTGAAGCTAGGCCCAGCCAACCTTCAACAGCACCCCGAGTTTCGCTCAAGGAGTAAGCGCGACCCCGCCACACTCCGAGAAAGGAGTAACCCTCCCCGTCTCTCCCACCCACCGCTTTTATAGCCGCGAGGAAGGCTCCCCCCAACCGACCAGAACGCTCCCATAGCAACAGCCAGGCGTTCGCGTTCGCGGCCCCCCATTACTCGCCCTCTCGCAGCCCTCAGATGCACCCCTTCTAACTCCGCGAGGCAGGCTCGCCCCAAGGCCCGCACGGGGGGCGGCAAATTCGGTCGCCATGCGCCCCTATTCCTCTCCTCTCTCCCCCCCAACCAGTAATATCCCCCCTCCCCAATCGGTTTCTTATTCTTAAAAAAAAAAAACAGAATAAACTCCTTCTCTAACCGCGGCCTATGAAACACGCGCGCGCGTGCTGGTATGCCCCCTATAACGTTGCCATAGCAACAAGAACCCCGTTTCTGAGCCTTGCCACGGGGGTGGGGGTGGGGGGTGCGCATTCCCCTTCCCACCGCATAGTTACCATCTTAGCAAGCAGGCGAAGGGCTCCGAGGCCCGGACGGTCGGCCAGCAACCTTCTCTCCGGCGGTATCAGCACAGCAATTAAAGCAGCGGAGCGGAACAGGAAAAAGCGAACTCAAGGCCAGCATCCCCCTCCCTTTAATTAATACGTACATCTCCGCCAAAGAGGCTTAAGTAGTTGCAGGAGCACCACGTCCCAAACCCGAGGCCTACAAGGAAGTCAGGAAAGGCGACCGGCCTGCACACCCGCCTGCTAGCCACAGTCTTGATAGCTATGGAGAGAAGTGAGTCCTTTTTCTCTCCCAACAACGTGGGGATGAGGGACTGATTCACGGGACGCATCTCACCTGTGGTGGCTCGGCTTCGCTCCTAGCTAGCCAGCGGCGGGGCCTTTTTTTTTTTGGCCACAAGGAGAAAGTGGTGAGGGAGAGAAAGAGGGGTTGTGAGGTGGAGGGGGGAAGAGAAGCAGCTGCGGTGCCTTCTCAGCAGAGACCCGGGAGAAATACAGGCCGCAAAATCCTCGGGCTCGCGTAGTTTCTGTCCCCGGCAAAGGTAGCTTCACTCCCGGGAGGAATGAGGGACTCACCTCCTTTCCCCCAAGGAACAGATTACAGAGGGAAAGGGAGGGGGGTGGGATGGGAGAGGGGGTTACAAAAAAAGGCTAGTCAGGTGTGTGTGTGGGGGGATTGCAGTTGCGATCGATGGGGGAGGGGCACCCCCACATTTCACTTTTTCTCCCCCCCCCCCTCCCCTCCCCCTTTTGTCCTTTTTTTTTTTTAAAGCCCAGCCCTGGATCCGATTGGTGCAAAAAAACCGGGGGAAAAGCACTACTTGTGAAAATGCATATTGTCTCGCGAGACTTGCACGTGTGGGAGGGGGGAATTGGTGGTGGTGAGAAAAGGTTGGGGGAGGGGAGAGGTCAGCGCAAGGAGGTGCTAAAAAGCATGGGGTGTGGCGATGGGGGTTGAGGGAGGGCCTAGAGAATGGATGTGTGGGCTACACGAGCAATAAACGTTAAGCCGGTTTGAGATAATTTCTTGTCTTAGTGGGATTACGGCGAGGGGAGACGTGTCCCCAGGTCAAAGGGGGAAATCAGATTCTTTTCCTGGAGAATTGAGACCTGGCCCAGGGATTCCTTTTTTCATGGCAGTTTCATTGCAAAACAAAGACTCGAGCAGTGCATCTTGGAGATAAATCGTAAAAGCAGTTTCTGCGGGCAAGAAGGGGCGTGGCAGGGGGTTGTCTTGACATAGGGGACCCTAAGGCAGGTAACTACTTTGATGTGATTGGACTCAGGCTGGGATGCTTCTGCAGAGGAGATCCAAGAGCCGCGAAGAGCTTTGGTATGATGAAAGCAGAGGGGGAGGGTGTGCGGGTATATGTTTTTAAAGGGAACTGTAGCTTTAAGGATGTGTCCTTATAAAGAAAGTAAGGTGTACAATAGAATACTAGTGTTTATCTAGGGAAGTTACTGTATAAAACAAAATTGGAAACAATGTCTAACTTCATTACATCCAGCTACAGAATGCAGATTGTTACATAGGAATCATTAGGGGAAAGCTTAAAGGGCATGTCTGTTCAAAGATAAACCTTATTGAATGTAATAAAGATTACAGGATTGCAATTGCATTGTAAGGTGGACGGAGAGAGGGGGGAAACTACTGGAACCATGCAGTTAGCTGAAAAACCTGTCAAATATACAGTAAAGCAAAATGTACATTGAAAAGATAATGAACTCTTTGTTTTTATGTTAATAAACACATTAAACATTTATGATCATTGTGTCTATTAAAATCAGTAATAATGAAATCATATCTGTGTTGTTTATTTTTTTCTTGAAAGAATTCCATCTTCTAAAATTGATAGTGGAAATCATCTTTGTAAATGCACATCTATGCCCTTAACCATCTTATTCTCTTATGGAATTATGCCCTACCTTTTGTTGCTCAGAGACATATATGATGTCAATTGTGACACTTAAGATTCAGGCAACTTAACTCCAATTTTAATCTTATTACAATATTTTGGAGACAAATTTGAAACACAATGAGAAATTCACAAGTAATCACATACAAATTACTTGAGTCTTCCCAAATACAAGTTTACCAAATGATAAGCAAGTGTTACTGCTTATTGCTTGGTAAACTTAAAACCATGAGTTCTAGTTCTGCCTTAGTCACAAGGCAGTTGGATAACCTTTAGCTAATCACTTTCTCTCAATCCAGGGAAGGACAAAATGATAAACCATTTCTGAAACACTCTGCCAGAAAAACTACAGGAACTTCAGTTCCAGGCAGTATCTAAGAATCAGACATGATTGAATGACGGGGGAAAAAAATACCAGAATAGTACCATTACTTATCTGTTTACTGCAAGGGCACATGAATTGTACATGCTATTTGCCTGAATATGAGTCAAGTTACACAAGTCATACTACAGACCATGCTTAATACTGTAAATATCCATGTTTTTTCCCCTAGTGCTCCTTAACTGAATACTGATTACTGAACACTGGATTTATCTTAGTCTCAGCCTGATGAGGAAATTGGTATATTTTGTAGACTAGTTATCTCTATTATCATTACAGTTTAAAACATTCTAAAGGACGTAGTCCATAAAAATGGCAGCATCAAACAGTATTATCGATCTGTGTGTATTACTCCAGCCTAAGAAAAATTAGAACAAGCAAAGATGCAAAGCATAGATGGGAAGTGAATTGACTCTTTGTACCCAACTGCCTAACTGTAAAGCAGAAATAACTTAGAAGTGTCAGGAAAGAGAGAACGTGTAATGCTCTGAAAAGAAATCAGACCAGGCTGTTGAGTCTAGATTATAAGATGACTACAAAACGATGATGGGTAGTTGAGCTAGCCTTTGGGTACCGAACAAACCATCTCTGGAGGAAAATCATGCTACTCTGGATAATGGGAGGAGGCTGCCCAATCCAATCTGGATGTTTGTAGAATACTCATAGCTAAATATGTTACTCAGAATTGTGCGCACATGCCCCATTTTGGATCATTTGCCTGTAATGTTTATGACCTATACCTCAGCAAGAATTCCAAATATATCCTGCTTACTACGCAACTTGTAAACATTTCTAAGAGATATCTTAGATAAAATGTGATAAGAAATAAAGTATACCAGTTTCCTGAGGGAGAAAAGGAGATTTATAATTTTAAACCAGTCAGACCACCTCCTCATCTTCCACAGACACACTCCTACCAATAACACAAGTCCTCTGCTCTTCAGAACAGGAAATAAAAGCTTCCAGGATTATTATGTAGTATCTATATTTCTACAAGTACTGATCTTATGATATTAACACTGATTGTCAAGGGACTTGCCATTTGGCATCAAAGTAAGCCTTACGATACCAATATACACTGCAATGAGTTGTCTCCCACATAAAAGGTATTGCTCAGACCTATGAAATCTTTGGTCACAAGAAAAAAACACACACTACAGTTGACTTTTGCAGCTAAGATGGAAAATTGGCTGGTGATGTGGAAGTTCTTCCCAATAAATACTATTTAATTAAATACAAGTCTTCTATGTCTTTCACAGGGTGGTACTGCTACGCTAAAATGGCAACACTGTGGGCCTAGTAAAATGCAGAACTTCACAAATGCATGATGTATGATGCTCTGGAGTAGCAGTCACCAACTGGTGGTCCGTGGACCACTGGTGGTCTGTGAGAAAATTTTGGTGGTCTGCAGAAAAATTATTTGCATTTTTTATATTGCACAAAATCATGGGTTCTCAAACTACGGCCCCTTGGACAGATACATGCAATGAACGTTCGTGTTGCTGCAGAGAGTCTTCCCCCCTTCAGAGTCTTTTTGTGCAGGTCGGAGGGGGGCAGAAATTCTGACTTGGGGTCTGCTTCAGCCTCCTGGTGTGGGGCTTTGGGCGAAAGCTGGACGGAAACGCCGCTGGTGGCAAGGAGCCGGAGGGCTTGTTCCAGTGGGACTGCATCATGGCCTGGAACTGGCTGACCATCTCAGCCCCCTGAGCCTCCAGGCGCCAGTATCTGGCCTTGCACTCCCGCAGATCTTCCCTCTGCTTGGAAAGCCTATGCTCCTAGTCCTCAGTGAGGTGCTTCTGCTGAGCCTCCTTCTTGGTCAGATCCAATTTGAACTGAGCTGTTTTGCCAACTCTTTCTCGTGGTGGCTGCTTAGCTCTAACAACTGCTTCCTGTTGGGGCCCTAAGGAGCCCGGGCACGGGAAGGCAAGGAGTGGCTGGGAGGGGAGGGGCGCGTAGAGGCCTGCAAGGCACCCCTCGACATGAGTGACGTCGAGTTGGCCATGCCCACCCAGTCACAAGACCACCTAGCCACACCCACCCAGCCAGTTATTAGGCAGATCGTATTAGTGGTTCACGGGATTTAAAATTATGAATTTAGTGGACCCTGAGGTCCGAAAGGTTGGTGACCCCTGCTCTGGAGCACATCTCATGGTCCAGAAGACTGTCTATTTGAAAACTCTGATCTGTGAGATTATGAACAGGATGGATGTAGAGCACAGGAAAAGGTGGCTTTCAGGGCTTTATAGAACATTTGCCTATGTCCCGTCCTCCCATTATTCCACATCTTTAATCAAATATTATTTAGCTTAACTATATCTGAAGTTTATCCCAAGGCTCATTAATACTACTATTAAAAATAAGCATGACTTTCAGTGTTTGCCCATTCCTATCATAATTCTAATTGCATAGCGCAGTCTTAGTGTCAAACAAATTAGTCATACTTTCACAAGGCACACTAAGAATAGGCTTTCATAAACTCAGTAAACAACAAATAAGCATACCTGTTAATCTTGCAAGCGCATATTCAACACCATTGTATGCTGATGTTTTCATTTTTGTTCTATACTTGTCCATATCATTTCCATGCAATATGTGCTCCTCCATATCCTAGCTTAACGGGGAACAACATTGCTAAAAACACTTTGGCAAGCATGACCTTAGTAATTATTCTGAGCCATGCCTATTCAGAGACAATGCAAGAATTTGAGAAGAACATGATTTTTATCAGCAATTTAACTTTGAAAAATTTGATCTAAGAGCTACCATATTTTTCAGAGTATAAGACACACTTTTTTCTCTCCTAAAAGAGGCTGAAAATTTGGGTGCGTCTTATACTCTGAATGTAGCTTTTTCGAAGCTTTTTTTTTTTTAGCCCTAATGAGGCGCTAGTGAGTGAAGTGATCTCCGCTTCCCTGCTTTGTCCGCTCCCTCCGACTCTCAGCTGTGAAGCTTTTTTTCAGCCCTAACAAGGTGCTAGAGAATGAAGCGATCTCCGTGGTATGCCTGCTTTTCTCATTTCTTCTCTCTCCAAAGATCAGTTGTGCTTTAGAAGCTGTTTTTTATCTTCAAGCATGGGATAAAAACCAGCAAACTAATGTGCTGAAGCTGACCAGACTAAGGACGCTAGCCAGATGAGTACCTAGTAGGCAGATTCCCCCCCTCTATTTTCCTTCCCAAAAACTAAGCTGTGTCTTATACTCCGGTGCGCCTTATACTCCGAAAAATACAGTAATCAGCTTGCCTGCACAATATTGTAGACCAGGGAGTACCCAACTCCTGGGCTGTGGCTCACTGCCAGGCCACAGCCTTTGAAGAATTAAGCAGAAAAAGCGATGGGTGAGTGAGTGCACGTGAAGCTGTATTTTTGGAAGCAGTGCACGCATGAAAGTATCCCTTCTCCC